TTCATCTCAGGTACTCAGGAGCTGAAGCAGGGCTACTGATTAACCAGCTTGAGGGTCAGGAAGAGGGTAGAGGCATCTGTAGGTATGTGCATTACGCTGCCTGTGGTAACCAAGCAAACAGGCTATTTTATAGCAGAGGATGTTGCTGCTTGGCTCAGAGGAACCACAGCTGCCCACACACCTTCTCAGCCCTCTGCTGTCACCCTGTCTGAGCAAGGTCCAAGCCAGAGGACCAGATTTAGACTTGACCTTGAGTTACCCAGTTCTGTGGTGTGAGGTTCACAGCATACTTCGAATCGTTTCCGTTCATAGAGGACCTAGGTGCAGGCTTCACTTCTACATCACCTGCGAGGCCACAGGCACAGATTCGTATGGGACACCAAATTCAGAGGCGGTCACGGGCCAGAACAGGCTGCAGCTCTACACCCAGTTCAAACCTGTATAAACCCCCACCCAGCACTGCTGAGACAGTCCCATCTCCTCACTGCACAGCTCCAGCATCAGCAGAAGACCATCTACAGTCACACCAGCACATGGCCAACCCGCGGACTGCACAACCAGACAAACACCAGTGTCAGCACAAGGCAGGAAATGCTCTTCTGGCAGCAGCACTGTTTAAATCAAGCCAGGAGTGGAACCATAGCCTAATTCGCATCCTGGTTAATAAAGCTTGCGTAATTACAGGCCAGGCAGTGCTGCTGCAAACCCCAGAGGGGTACGGGAAAGCCCAAGTTAGAGCTCTGCCCTCTCAAGGCTTTTCCCCAACCTTCTGCAAGTAAATCACACCAGGCGGTCACCCTGCCTCACCCTTCCCATCTTACCCGCAACACAGCACAAAGCCTAAATGCACCGTCCTCTAGAGGGGCCGTTTATTTGCCAAGTATTAACGCGCTGCTCTGAGACGGCAGAGACAGCCTGGAAATTCCCTGTCTTCCTCACCTGCTCCGGCCCTGCCAAGGCAGATTTCCTGGAAACGGCAGGAGCAAACAGGACCATACACCACCTCTCGGCTTGAGCCACAGCCGGGCTTTCTCCGAGCACTGACCTGGCCATAAAGCCAAGCTTAAAACAGTATTTACAAATTTCCCTTCCGTGGTCCCCGACTGACAAGCCTATCTTATTCACAAGGCTAGATTTTTGCAATTCGATTCCACTCTAAACACTAAACATGGAAAAAATGATCTCTGGGCCAAAAGCAATAGATACGCTAATTTGGAAAATAATCTCAGGCTTGAAATAGGTTTCCAGCGCTTTGCTACTGACGCCAATTGCCACCTTCCCCTTTTCGACGCAATGCTGTGAAGCAGGGAATTAAACCGGATTTGGACAGCACA